AACAGACCCCTAAAATTCACCACCATAAGTGGCTGCATTAGCCTCAGAAGTGGGTACTTGTCAGTAGGAAGCAAAGAAATTTTTATAATCACAATATGGTTTATAAAATGCTTTGAAATCCTTTGTGGTGAGGGACAAGTTGGTGTCATGTAAGAAGGTATTATTGTTGTATCAATAAAACAATGACTCCAAAATATAGCCACTTTGTTGCTTAAGTTGTCAAAAGAATACATAATAGGGGGGGGGGATTTAAATAGAGGGGAGATTTAAATGTGCCCAAAATAACTGTAAACCAGATTTTAGCCTCACTAAAATTTTCAGAAATTTTCTTCTCAAAACAATAGCTTGTTATAAGTGTCATCTCAATGTCTCCTCTGCTTATTTTTATATATAATTTTTTTTAGTCTCTATTAGTTTCTGTTCTTTCCTGAACAGTGATTAAGTCCAATGATTAAATGACTGTTTTTTTTTTTCTTTGTATTTTTTTAAGGAGCAGCAAATGTGCTCAAAAACTCAGCCCCAATATTCAGGGTTTGGTAAAAGCCACCCATGATTTACTGCCCACAAAGATTTGCAGATGAGGAGTAAAACTTTCTGTGTGTGACAGATTTAGGTATTTGTTAAAGAGTGGGAGGGCAGGTGGGAGAAATCTATGAGTATGTTCTGCTGTCCTCAAATGTTTCTTTGAAATATTGTTCCATAACAAGATCAATGAGACAAATCTTAAACCTCCTCTTGCATATGGAGGATCTGTCACCTAATTCCCATGGAAAAATACATTCTTTGGATATCTGGGAAGGGAATTTATGAAAATGAAGCCACACAGTGAGAGCTTTACAATATTCCCCAGATTAAAATGACACAAAGGAAGACCTCTGCCTATCACTGCACTTCAAATTCACTGGCAAGAACAGAAGATAGTGAACTATATTGCTCTCTGAATATTTTGCTCAATTAAAGACTGCAAAATTTGGCTTAAGTAATCCATGTTCAAATTCCTGTCTCCTGCAGCTGGAATGCAGTGAAGCCACCAGAATGAAGACCAAGTTAAATATTTTAACTGAGCAAGATACATTCTCATTTTGTGCTCCAAACTACATGGAAGTCTATATTATGAAATGGGATTATAGGATTAGAGCAGGTTTGCCTTTGGCATCTGGAAAGTGTGGCAATTGGCTTCTGTATAGAATTTCCCCAGCTAACATAGGTCACGTGGGTCAGAGCAATTTCCATGTCAGTGCAGGACCAGCATACACATGTAAATGCCATATGCTTGCTGCCTGACTGTACATGATCTGCTGCCACTAACTCCTATTGCCAGCTAGTTTAACATTAACATTCAATGTAATATAATCAAAACTGTGGGCACCATACAATGTGCATTAAAAACACAAATTGCCCTCTCTAGTGACTATTTTCAATTGCCTTGGATGAGGGCAAGAGAAGAAAGACAGACTTCAGTTACTTACAACTGTTTACAAAAGCCTTTGTTTTTCTTTTTCTTTTTTTTTCTTTTTTTTTCCTTTTTTTGTCAAAGGGAACACAAACTAGAAAAAGAAATTCAAGAGACTTGGAAGGCATGAAAGCTCACCTATACAAGTGAGGCGAATTTGGGTTAATATAGGGTATGAATTTAAATATTAATCTTCCCAATTAACCCCTGATGAGACAGCAGCTTCTGGTATCATTTGTCTTGCAGAGTCTTATCTGAGAATCTGAGCAGGAAATTAATCAGGGACAATGTCTCAGGAGGAGCCACTCTGAAATAATTTCCTATTAGACAATCCCTGAGACTGATTGCTCAAATACTGTCAGGATGTACGCTGAAGTCCTCTTTTACATCTGACCAGGCTGCCACCTACAACAGTTGCTCAGCTCCACTGGACTCAGCTCTACTGGACTGTAGTCCAGTAGATAGTCAGTTACCTGATAGTCGGTTAAGTGTACATAGGAGAAACGAAATCAGAAATATCTGATTTGGGTCAGCTTCTTTATAAATCACCTAGTCCTATCACCTGCCAATCTTATGAGTGTCAAAAAAGGATTTTGAAGGTAACCACCTTCAATTACTATTAGGTCCATTTCCACTCAGAAATCTTTAATTTGATTTTACTAGTACGTCATTAACTGAGTCTTGCCAATGGGAAGGTAAAAACAATAAGGCAATAAACAGAAGTCAGTGGTATTGTTCCTCAAAATTCTCTGTCTGTCCTTATTTCTTCATTAATGCTGAAATAGAGCTTACAACAACAAAAGCACAAGCCTCTGCAATTTGATATAAAGCTGTAGCTGCATTCAGTTGCGTACATTCTCTAGCATCACAAGTCTCAGAGAGCAAAATTATTGTGAGCTAGAGGTATCAGATCTTCTATACTTCAATAATACCAGTTCATTTTGTAATACCTGGACACTACTTGGACACTAATATCATCTGTGATACAGACTTCTTTTAGGAAGAAACCCACTCTTGATTTAAAGGTAGAAAATGCACCACAAATCTAGATAAATTGCTCCTGCATTATGAATCACTATTGACATTAGCACTCTAGGCTGAATTTCTCTAATGGACAGAGGAAATAACACCTTTAACAGCTGTTTATATGTTACCAATATATATATATATATATATATATATATATATCTGTCAGAGACCCATATTTTAGAGACTCCAAGAGCATTTTACGTATGCTAGTTCAACCTTTTCCAACTTTATTGTGAAAATAATGATTATAAGACTGGACACAGTACTCCAGTAATGGTCTTCCTGCTGCAACACCAAAGGTAACATAATCTTCTTATTCTATTTGATAAACATTTTTACATCTATCCAAGCATCATCGTCAGCCGTTTCAGTAACACCTCTGTAGGGTATGCTCAAGTTCTATTAGTTTTATATTACTTATTATAAATGTTATTCAATGATATTTAATACAGAGTTCCACTTTCTAAGCATAGTTATACTTTTATGTTTAGACATATGACCCTTAATTTACCTATATTAATCTGTATTGTTCATAGGGCTGCATTTATCAAGCCTTCAGGTTGTGCATATACGTAAACCATTTTCATCACCACATTTCTTCAGACAAATGGCAGCACGATGTGACCAGATCCACACTCCTCAGACATGCACAATGGATCGGCCAGCATTTTAAAATCAGAATCTGGAGGAAAATCTAAGACAACTGCAATTATAAATCATATTTCCTTCTCTGCCATTTTTATTTCATCTCCAAATTCTACCAGCTGTAATGTATTTCACTCTAGAGCCTCGATTAAAATAAATAAATAAATAAACAAATAAATAAATTGAAAGCAAACAAATAAATAAATTCAAGATAATTGAATTATCTTATAATTATATTATTATTAATTATAATTTGATTAATTATAATTATATTATTATTAATTATAATTTGAAAAAAAAGCAACAAATAAATAAATTCAAGATAATTGAAATAAATTAAAAACACTGTCCTCAGGGTAGAATTCCACCTATGACTTATGAGCTAACCAGTTTTTAATTCATACAATATGTACTACACTGATTTTTCATGGTGATATTGTTTTTTAAATCATAATGTCATGTGGAACTTGGTCAAGAGCCTCACAGAGGCCTGAGTACATCATGGCAACCACCTGTTAAATACACTGTTACTCATTGAATCTGTCAAAGGAAAACCAGTCTGTGTGACCAAACACTATATAAATTCAAACTGTATTCAAACTTTCTGTTTAAAGCAAGCACCAACACATAGTGTGAAGAACAGAAGACTTCTGAACATTCATTTCCACACCCTGCCCTCTGAGCTGAGGGACTAGCCACAACACACTTTTTTGCAGTACAGCAGCTCTTCTCACTTCTACATAGCTACAGACAGTTGTCATAACCAATCTGATTATCAAGGATGTGTCTGGGCTGCAATGGATTCTTTCAGGAGCTGCGATAGATTACATTCATGCTGTTTACTGTCACAGCCATTTTTAGATCTGGTAGATACAATATACTAGGAGCAGCCGCAGCATGCCTGATGATGTTATGCACTCATTGAAGAACAGTTCCATTATTTTACTACATGTAAGCACTGCTGTTACATTCCTAGTACTAGTGCTTAAATCTCAGTAGCATCCTGCCTCCTTCACAACTGCCTTTTTTGGTTTTGTAATAACTAATACCTCAGTAAGTTCAGATTGCATAAATAATGCTTGCAAAAGAAAAAAAAAAATCTATGTACATAAAAAATGCGTATAGGGTTGAAACTCCAGCATGCTACCTTTTAAGCTTTGTGGCATCTGCCCAGTTTTCTGCGAGTATATCTACTGTCTGTGAGAGAAAGTCAGGCATCAAAGCAGATATTTTTATGAAGGATTTACTTCCCAGATATACTCATGCCAGCTTCTCCCCTAAACCACTGAAAATAGGCTCAATTTCTATAAAATACCAGCATTCACAGCAGTGAAAATACAATAAGCTGAGGCTGCCCATAATACTGCAGAGCAGACTGAGCAGGCATCTTGTCACAAGACACATTTATAAAGTTCTGGTTCTAAAAATTAAAGTCTGACAGCAGCCTATATCTCCCAATTTATTCTAGCTCTATGATCTCCTACAGAACTACTTGAGCCGCCCCTGCAAAATTATGCATGCCAAGCACTATGTGTTCCATTGAGTCCCTCTCTTTTGAAAAGCAGAAGATGGGAACACAACATATTCAAGAATCTGGACACGGATATTATTGCACACAACTGCACCCTCAAGAATGGATCATTTCACCCCATTTTAAAAGACCAGAAGAAGTGGCTGAAGAGAAGAAATTCACCACGTATCTTTTTTTAGTGGTTTGGTGTTTTGTTGTTGTTTTGTTTTTTTTTTTAGTTTTGTTGTTCTTGTTTGTTTTGATTTTTGTTGTTGTTGTTTGTTTGTTTGTTTTAAAACCAATTGAACACTTCAAGGTAAATACAGTCCTTAATGTAAGACCATTGATAGGAGATTTCCAAACCTTAATCAGGGAGTCTGTTCCTTCATCTGGCTGGTGGAGCAAAATATGTCATCAAACATTTGATCATGATGTGCACCAGGTTCTTCTTCAACCATCTCATGTCTACAGCAGAAAGAAGACATAAAAAGAGACTACTTTGCAGAGACTTGTAAATTAAATGAGAATAATGAAAGATGGAAATGGAAGAGGTGATGGATTTGTAATTTTTTACCAACTTCAAAATCGGTATATCTGGTGGGATCCAGTTCCAGTCTCACCCGATTTAGGTTAGAATTAAAGAAGAGTAATTCAGCCACTTCCAATAAAAATACCTGAGTATAACCTGCAGGATCAAGACAAACTCAGGGAAAGTCAGCATGATTAAAAAAAAAAATCTCTTACAACTGCTTTTAATTGGTTAAATTATTTTGCTCCATATGGATAGAACATGTGGTGGTTATTCTTGTTACAGAGATACAATACATATCTCCAATCAATGAAGCTGGCAATCCTGTTACACTGTTAAGCATTTCATTTGAAGTTATTTGGCAAGCTTGCTCTGCAGCAGGTAGAATTCCTGAACCAAGACTGGACCAGTTCAAATAGCAGAATTTAGAGCACCAAGTGAGAGACTTCCATTTTGAATGAAACTGAAGACTGTGTTTTGTGAATTCCATACTAACAGCACATAGTTGACCTACTTGATGTGTAGCAACTAGATTTAAACTCCAAAAAGGTGTGTAGATAGCAGGACAATTAGTATATGTCTACCACATTTTCTTAGAAAGGGAAAAGGCAGTTCAGTGTTTAGCTCCAGAAAAGCAACAGCACTGCTGACCACATGCATTTACAGAATACTGGGTTCTCAGCAGCCTAAGAAGCCTCATCAGTGCAGTGTCTATGTGTCTACACACAGGGGGATCAGATCACTTCCTTGGATTTAGGTACCTAAATTCTGCCTAAGTTTTTCTTTAGGCATCTAAGTGCTTTTTTGGATGTCACTCTAAATTCTTACTTACTTATCATAGAACCTTTTCCAAAAACTCCATTAATTTCTCTAGCAATTACCAGAAGACCGTGAGATGATTCCACTAATCTAAAAAATAAAGAAAGTATTAGATTGCTTTTCTTTTTTAAATGAACTACAAAAGAAAATGCATCTGCAAAGTAAACCTAAAACATTGGCTTGTATGACTAAACCACTTTATAGTAAAATATGTAGTGACTTCCAAGACCCTACTGCTGCAGACCATAAAAACTATTGCATAATTATTATTAATAAATGTGTAACTACACGTCATTAACCAGTTATTATGCACACACCTCTCTTGTCCACACCAAGAAACAGAACCACTTCACAAAACTCCACATGTTTGCACTGTCCTCCACACTACTGGGAAATCATTCAGCATCTGCATGAAAAATTTCTCTGCAAAAGAACACATTAAATAAAGATTTCATGTTCTAGAAACAACAGAACATCTAATCCAGGCAAGTCTAATGATTTTGTAGTATTTTCTTGGGGAAGACAAATATTCTCTTTCCTTCTTTCAGAATTTCAGGATGTTCAGAAAAGTATCATTTCACAGGACTGGTGTAATGGTCATAAAATGAACTAAAATATTAAGATTCGTGTTAATTTTAAATAAATCCGCATATTAGAACAAGAAGGAATCCATATGATTTAATCAGGACATTCTCTCATTTTCTTTACTATGTAAAACAAAAGAAGTCAAAAAGAAATTGCAACTCATCACCCTTACAGGAGGTAAATTTTGTTCTTCTTGGCAGACTTTTAGTATTCAAGCTGAAAGATGTGGGCTCTACTTTCATCTTCTTTTGATTTATATAATGATCCTGTTTGTTCATGTTGCAACCAGATTCTTTATGAGCTCAGTATATTGTCAACAACAATAGGACTCAGCTAGGTTTTGTGGATGTTGATGCTGAGTTGCAATTGAATTTATATGGATCTGAGGTTTGCCTAAACCACAACCTTCAGATTCATGACCAAATTTAGGATGGAATCAGGCCCATGTTCGGTACCAGAGCCATTCTTCTTCTACATGGTTGTTTAAGGAACTCTAAGGATAATGTTCCACAAGAGAGATGGAGGTTTCACTTCTCTCAACAAAGTAAAAAAATAAAATACTGAGATATTCCCCTTGGAGTTCAAGAGGGGTAGCTATAAGAGCAGTAACAGCCTGTGTTTTTGGCCTTTTCAAGAAAGTAACAGAGATATCTGAACATATCAAATCACTAACCACAAAAGTAAATTTCAATGTTAGTATTTTGCATCAGTATTATAATTAAAAGTATGCATAGAAACATAAATGAAATGGGAAAAAATGAAGGTCACATACAGTGTCTTAAAATGTGTCTTGGAGACAAATATCCATTAACTCTTCATCTATCATGGTTCATGATCGCTTTTCAAGATAAAGTCCTGGAAATGCCATATGAAAAAATGCTATGAATTACGGAAGCGCATGAAGCAGCTCTTGAAAATATGCAACATTCAGACCCAGACCTCAGGAACTATGGCCATAACAAAACTCCTTGGCTAACACAATTAAACTATTGCCTGTAGTAACTATAGCAGAAGACTTTTCAAAGAGCCCTTTAGTCTCAGAACACTTGCAGTCCCATTAGGAGACTCTACTAGCATTCTAAATGAAATTACCATTGTAATTTAACCTAGTGATAAAATCATGGCAAATATCACTGTGATTATATTAATAGCTGTAGCTAGATTTCTTAAAGGAGGAATGCAAAATATCTTTCAAGAGCAGGTGCAATATCAGCAAACGGAGTTCTGTGCTTTTATAGATTGTGGCACCTGAATACAAAATGTTGGTTTTTGTTTTGTTCTTTTTTTTTCTCTTTTGCTAAAGAATGTTACCAGTATAAGTTCAACTTAAACATGCTTTTCTCTAACTTAGGGGCCACTTCTCACAGAAACCAGTATAATCAAGAGCTGGACCTCCAAAATCAAAAGCTTATTTTTTACGTTACAAATTTTTTCTGTTACCATAAGAAGTTTGTGTCCATAGAAAATATGGATTGCAGTACCCCAAAGGTTTTATCTCCATTCCACATCCAGCTCTGGCATGTCTCCTATACCCTGTTTTATCTCAGCCTCTAAAATCTATTATTTTTTAAATTGTGGGGTATCAGGGAAGCAGATAAACAGGACAGGACAGGATAAATTAAGATCACAAAACCATACTGCATCTTCACTATCTGATCTCCCACAAAACAAGATTTCAAACTTTCTTTGGATTCATTAAGAAACAAATTCCCAGAAGCTTTCTGTGTATGATGATAGCCCACTTTCCCTTTTATTTTTTTTAATAATGATTCTTCAGAAAGGGCACAAATTGATTCCTAGGAGAGATAGTGCTTTTTATCTACAGGGATTTTGTAAACAAATTGATCCAGCTGTTTTGCTTTAGAACTCTCCAGACATAGTAAATTATTCCTTATGACATCAACACTTCATTTCCTCTATTTGCAGTTAACATCTCAAAACAGACTACTCTTCAAAAGACAAATAACTGAAATGTATTAGCATTAACAAGATCATTCAGACACTTTCTTAAAAAAAAAAAAAATGTCTTCTATATATGGATACATTTGGTGCCATAGAATAGTTTCCAGAAAGGATCAAGATCAAATGTGTTTGGTCTTTTTCCTAAGCCACTGAAAATTTATCAAAGAAATCTTAAGAATTTCATTTTTCCTTTCCTTTATTATGCGATTAGCTGCGTTTGTGTTTTAAAAAAAAAAAAAAAAAAAAAAAAGACATGCAGGATGGATTCCAAACGCTGTTAAAACTCAGACAAAAACTAGTTTATCTCCTTAGGATGAAAATAAAGTGGGAAAAAATAAGAGGAGGAACAGTTCTATGGACTAGGCAAAATGAAATTTAACAATATTTTTAACAATATTTGATAATATATGCACATATAGACTCAAAAATTAACAAAGAAGAATGAATGAAAACTGCTCCCTGTGTTTCTTAGTGGCATGCCCAATAGGCCATTCTTCAGAAATGTGTATAGAGATTTTATTATTTTTTTAACTAACAGTAAAAAGTACTAATTGGCTTTAAAGATATAAGAGACTTTTGGAGATAAGAACAAGACAAATATATAATCTGTAAAATAAGAAACAGTTCCTGAGCTGTAAAATAAAAAACAGTTCCTGAGTCCCAGGTGAACACACTGTATCAAAACATTTTATTTTTTTTTGCTGAGTTCACTAATCTTCTTTAGATATTTTTCTTCCATTTTACAATGATGTGACCAGTTTTTCCATAATCTTTCCTAATTGCAGGATTTCTGAAGGTCACATGCTGACAAATATAGCAACCAGCTTTCCATTCTATACTTCCTGAATTAGAATATTTGCTTTAAAATGAAATCATTGGTAGCTTTCCAGTTACTATAAGGACAGCAGGATCAACTGAGTGCACAGCAACAGATTACAAAGCAGGTGGCTTGAGGCTAAATCTAAACAGTTTCCTCACATAGCTTTATAAAGTGTGGTCCTGATAACTCCTAATGAGTGTTAAGGGCTGTCTGGTCACAAGGTCTAGACAGGTCAAGGTCTAAGGATCGGAGCTTGTAATTGCATTCTATTAAATACTCGGTTGTAAAAGGTCACCAGAAGACCAACTGGAGGTATACTGTCTATTAAACAGTAGTGCCCTTAAAAGACACTCAGGACTTAAAAAATTATAAGATACTGAAAGAGAAAAAGAGACAGCCAAAAAAGAGGTGAATCTGAGGACACAGCAGAAAATTGAGGTCATTGTTCTATATCACATTCCCCATGTAAAAGAGGAATTTGAAACTCATAGTCTATTGAAGCAGTTGGTATTTGGCAGCATCAAGTCTAATGTTGAGTTAAACCATTTAGGAGGCAGATTTGGAGAGCCTCTCATTGCAAAATGAACAAATAATGAAATACACTTATTTCATAACCTGTATTTGTTACAAACACATCTCACTGAGCTGTTGTTCATTCCCTAAAAGCTAATAAAAAGGGAGAAATTAATATGTCTAAAGCCAGCATTTTTTACTTCCTTTAAATAAAAGCCTCATATAAAAGCTCTTGTGGTTTGGTGATACTGTGCTGTTGCTGACTGGCAGGGCAGGATTTGGCGATGCACCCCCTTAAAGATTGTTGTTATGCTGTTTTTCTCCCACTGTGAGTACTGGGAGGACACATCAATTCAGACCACTCCAAGGGGAGAGCACCTCGTAAGCATGAATTATTCAGTGACAGGTTTTGAACCAGCCACAACACAAGCAGGTAGTAAAGAGACAACAGGCTCAGGCTTTGGCTAATGAAGAGTGCCACCCACATGCACACAGCCAAGAATGCTAGGACTCAGCTAGGTCATAAGAAAAAAAAGGTAACGCTTTATGTTTCAGGACAAGGAATGCTAATATGTAGTGCTAAGGACTGATATTGCCCAGTTGGGAGGATGGTCATAGGAGCCAGAAATACGGTACCCAGAGTTAAGAGACAAAATCCTGATCTTCCCTTTGAGGCAGTACAGAAGTGCTGGAGTAACTTCAAAGTATTATGACATTTCCCATCTTTTCTTTCCTTCCCTTTGAGCACCCCAAAACATGGCACTGCTCAGAATTTCTGGACCTGCAAAACATTTGGGGGAATGATAGACTCCAGGTTTTATGAACTTTCTGGTGCTTCTCAGCCTTCTGACAACCCTCGCATTACCTGGACTGCAGCCTTCCTTGCAATATCTTGGCTCTGCTGTTCCCAGTTTGCCTGGAACCAATTAATGCATTAGCACAAAAAATGAAAAAGGAATTAATCATCCTCTTCTGAACCTCAAAAGATTTGTTTTGGACAGACCTTTGTGGAGATGGGGTAAGATTTGAACTGTGTTACCCCTTCCTAGCTGACAGAAAGTCTTGCTATTTATTTACCCCTTCTTACCAGCTGGCACCTACAGTAAGTAGTGAGGCTGCACATATCAGGCTTGCTTCCCATTCCCCTATCCTATATAGCACATGGGTAAAAGCTGAAAAAGAGCACCATCTTCTACCTACACTTTCCTTTTTTCCCTTGCAGGATGCAAACTTTCCAGTACAAGGTGGCAGGACATGCCTCCACTTTGTCATCTCATCTTTTGATTGACTTCTTTGGCCTCAGAATGCAACATACCAGTGCCAACAGGAACCCTCAAACTTTTTTTACCTTCCTTCTGCCACCCAGCAGAATCTCAAAACCTCACAAATCTCTTCAGTTCCCTATAATCATATATATCCAGAAAAACACCTTTTTTTGCAAGTTCCCTTCCCAGCCATGGTTAATGGACTCATTGTCGCACATGTGGCACTCTTCCTTCTTTGCCACCCTCCACCAACTCTTCCCACATGCTCAGAGCACCCCTAAGAACATACTAAGGCTGACAGAGTCCTTAAACATGGAATCTGAGGGTACTTTCACTGCTGACAAGCCTCTGCCACTTCCTCCAGCTCCTCCTCATTCTGCCTTCTGTTTCTGGCCTTGATAAGCAGAAACTGAGGGAAAGCCCGTAAGGGCAGTGCACATCACCAGTGCACTAAATACTGCCTTGGCTCTATGGAATTAATCTAAAGATGCTCCACAGGAACACCGTTTAATAAATTCCCTCTGTGCCCATGGCAAGAAGATGGTAACATGGAGATGGCAGGATGGGGTTCAGTCCCTCCTGGTGCCAGGAGGAGGCAGCTCAGCCTAAAGCAGTGCAGCCATCCTGTAGGCCTCCGTGTCATGCAGCCTCAGAATGACCAGTGGCCCTAAGCCCAACTGCATCTTCTTCACATTTTTCCTCCCTTTACAAGTTTTGCATTTGTCTCCCAAAACACTCTTGTATTTCTTTTTTTACACTTAGAAACACAAGGGTTTGCTTTTCAAAATGCCAATTTAGATGAAGAGAGGGGAAATGATACATCAGGAATAAGTTGGAGTGCTCAATCCTCTGGCTCACTAATTAGGATTTATGTACTGGAAAAATCCAATTCCTGGCACCGGTGAGTTAATAAAGAAATGAAAAAAATGTCTGGAAAATTAGAAAAACTGGTATAATTATCTAAGAAAACCAACACATCTGGTCATTTCCTCACACATTGTTATTAGCACCACAATTATTTCAGCAGGAGGGAAGCTGGGGAAGAAGTAGTACAGGACCAATGAAGGAAAGCAGTAGCAGGATAACCTACCACTCAGATACTGACTCCTGAGAGAAAGCAGACTTGCTGTTAAACAGGCAAGTCGACTTTAAAATGAACTTCTTTAAGCTGTGATTTATAGTGTTTAAACTGGAGATAATTATTTCCACTAGGGGTATCAGAACTGCAAAACTCCCTAGTCCCTTCTGTGCAGTCATTTACATTGGTAAATAAATTGCTAATATTCTGATTTTTACATGCTTTTTCTAGTGGTAGGAAATGAAATATGAGGTGCAAGGCAAGAGAAAACAGATCTCTACACAGCAGCTCGTAGAGCATGCATGTGAGTGTGATGAGGATTCACTTGTATGCTCTTGAAACTCAAATGCTTACCATAAAGATTTCCCAGAGCATGCCAGTGAATCTGGTAAGCTACTTGTCCTTCTTTCATAATTATTTTTATGAGGAAGACAAGGAAAAACCATCCTAGGAAGAATGCCAGTAAGTTATGCTTTGTTGATTTTGCTTTGAGTTTTTTTGCTTTCATATTTTTGTGTGGTGGTATTTCATGATATGAACATTTTGACAGTTTAATGGGGTTCTCTTGCTTCTCCTGCAGTGTAATCCTTCAGGAATCTGATACACAATGAGCCTCTCACTAACGTATCAATTTTTAAGATCTTTTTCTTTTTTAAAACATGCATAAAAAATATAAAAACTAAGCTTGCTCCATAATTAAAATATGATAATTTGCATACTGCTAAATTGGATGAGATCCGGTAAGAGATTTAGATTCTTCAATGATAGCCAATATAATACCTGTCCTTCGATCACTCAGTTCCTACAGGAAATTTCAAAAAATAAATAAAATAAAATAAAATAAAATAAAATAAAATAAAATAAAATAAAATAAAATAAAATAAAATAAAATATTGAGTGCCATTCAATGCACAGGGTAAGTTAGTTCCTCGGAGTGCAATCCAAAGCATCTAACACACCACACAAGCACATGATAGCAATATATTCAGGGGGTAACTACCTAAAACTAGCCAAAGGTAAATGCCTTAAACCTTGCTCATCCAGTGAGACAGTTTGATTTACAGGATATCTGGAGTCCAGAAGCCTTTACTCATGTTATATATCTGTCTGCCCAAAAAAAAAAAAAAAAAAAAAAAAAAAAAAAAAAGTAGCATAGCTCATGCTTTTCTCTTAAAAACAGGTTGTAAAAACAGATAGATTCTTGTCTTCATATAATCATCTAGTGGTTACCCAGACAGTAAAGGATCTTAGTTCTTCCCTCAGCTCAACAGACCTCGAAGTCCTCCAAAGAAGGTGTCCTACTTAGAAGTTTGCTCAATGCCTCAAGCACAATCAAGAAGATCTGGTCCCAAAACACACACCAAAAACTGAAGCACAGCAAGATCAATAGGTGACTTACTAGGATATAAGGAGGCATCTTTTTTTTTCCCTTCTACAGGTCCTTCTTCTGTACTGTATCAAGCAGCAATTTCATGTAAAATGCACCATACATCCTGTGAACAGAGAGAAGAAACACTGGTCTCTTTGTGTAATCTGAGTGTCCAAGGAATCCATATTCTTTATTTGTGCTCTCTTCCTCTGACAAAGAGAATATTTGACTGCTGTCGGCACAGAAGCATGTGTGTTTCATGGAGTAAAATGAAGAATGCCTTGCCATGCAAACCAAAATTACTTCATATATTAGAAACTCAGTATAACTCAGCCAGGGGACAATGCAGCAGTTCATCCCATTAGACAGAGGGGACTGAACTTTTCTCACTTTTCCTACTCAAGTACCCCAATGAGCAAGCTGGATGGAACCCTCTGTGGTGGCTTTTAGAAATAAATCAGCAGATGCAACTCCATCATTTTGTGAAATGTTTGATTCTCTCAGCATGTGAACATCCCTAACAGACTAAGTCCCTCCTGAAGTTCACATACCTGCTAACTTTACCCTTTACCACACTGATACATCATCCACCACTATAAGTATCTTCTTATATGTTTTCTGGCATTACTTAAATACCCACTACTTTATTTTAAATTATGCTACTTTAACACTTGGTTTTATGACTTGAAATTAGCAAAGCACCCTTCCCATCCTAAGGAAGCAGTCAACAAAACCCAACTATATTCATCCCAACCATCTCAAAAGTTAAGCATACCAAAGTGGCACATTGATGGAGGTGAGGGAAAGGAATCTGGACTAGTGAGCTTGCTGTGCTTCAACTTGGAATGCAAAAGAGCATCTCAGCAAGTCTATACAAAACATGTATTTGCTATTTACATTTACAAGATAATGTTTTCATGTACATACATGTTTTCCTGAATATATATATATATATGTTTCTATATTAGAATGTGGAGGCATAAACATAGGGATCTCTATTCCTAGATCCCTTTCAGGTCAGTATGTGATTTATATATTGAGTTGCTTTGCCTTGTCCAGATTAAGGTGCATGTACAAAAGTGAACCCTCAGGCTCCAGGGGAATGTACTGACAAAACAGTGAGTCACTGTTGATCACCGTATCGTAGTGCATTTAAGTGAGATGGCAGAAGCCCCCTGTTATTACTGGTCCCTTCTTAGCCACTACCTATAGTGGTGGGGATGATCAAATTGTCCATGAATCAGCTCCTCTGTTAACATCATCTATAGCCTGGCACGTTCAGCTAACCAGAATTTTTTGACTGCTTGCTTTGCCAATGACCTTTGGCTTCCCATCAAAAGTTACCTACACATTTCAGCCATTCCTTCCAGATCAACAGCTACTTCCATGAGAAAAGGAGAGCACAGGGAACAGCTGAAGGGGTCTACCATTTCAACAGCTTGGTTTAATCTTTCTGTGTTCATAAATCAATGCCTGTAAACTGTAGGAACCTCCAGCTTCAGCTGGGGACAGAGGAGAGAAAAAAGTTCAAGATCTCACTTGCCCATTATCATCTGTGAATGATTATTGAACAAGATTTCCAAAACTGATTAGCGATATCCTCTTCCTCGGTAAGTAAAGGTGCAGCTGTGCAACTGAAAATATTTTTTTTGCCACCCCTTTGCCCCTTTGGTAGCCCATGAGATGCTTTACAGGGACAAGATACTGTTATCCATGTTTTTTATTATTATTATTATTTGTTATCACTAAAAACAGATTACCTAATGGACAGCATTTTAAATTACCAAATTTGCTTTTCATCATTGATATCATTTGTTTGCTCTGTGTACTTCAGGTGACAATGAAGGCTAATTTGACAGGGTTACTTTTAGATAAAAACAGGATCAAATACCACTTCTCTGACACACAGAAAGAATAATTTGTGAGCATTTTACATCTTTGCATCTCAGTGTACTAAAAAAAAAAAAAAAAAAAAAAAGTGCAATTATTCTCACCCATAATTTACCTACCAAGAAACTGAGGTGAGGTACAAAAGGGCTACAGGGCATGTTATATGTAGAACTGGAATCACAAAGACTGGCTCCTTTCTAAATATTAGCCCACCCTGTCTGCTTTTCTTTTCCCCTTACTTTGTTCCTTTTGTATTAGAAAGTCTGCTGTCAATGACTCTCTTACGATTGACCACACAATATTACAAAAGTCAAGAAAGTGAAAACTAAACAACTGGAAAAAAGCAACTGCAAAGTGAGACTATGCTAAAGCCTTTGTTTCTTTTTTTCTTTTTTCTTTAAATTACTCCTTATTTTCAGCAACTTTCAAAGGCTTTGATTAATATTTTCTTTGTTCAAGAATCAACATTTTCACTCCTGCTGTTCTGCTGAGAGAGAAATCAATACCTATCCTCTGAGATATCCAGAAAGTCACTAGGAAAGCCATAACAGAGCAAATTTGGCATTTCTCAAATTTCTAGACAAAAATAAAATAGGAAAAGTATCATTCAATGTTCTTTAGGGAACATAAAGCAGCAAAAAAGGCTCATGCCAAAGCTTAATAAAAATTATTTCAAATCTTCCTTTAAAAAAAGTGTGTGAGGGAGAATCATTAAGCTGGAATCCATGGAAAGAGAGTTGTTGTGCTTTGGGGTTTTCTTGGTTTGGATTTTTTTTAAGAGCTAAAAGAAATTTCAAGGCTTACACTTGCCTTGAAGCCTCATTGCCAATTTTTGTGGTTTTACAACCACAGTTTCTTATTGCTTTTTCTTTGTTTCTTCTCCTTTTTTTTTCTTTTTTTTACTTTTTTTTTTGTGTGTGAGAAAGGGAGGAGTTGTTTGTTTGTTTTTCTAAAGTACTTCTCCTTCCCATTGTCATATATGATACCCACACACTAAACAAGCGAAACTAATAGCAAAGGGCAAGCAGAGAAACTCCCTGTTCAAACCAAATGGCCTTTTCCCTTCTGCATCACCAGAGTCTATAGGCTCTGTGCAACACAACTACTAAAGTGAGAGGAAACTTTTAGCTATCTTCCCAACCTGACACCCAAGACCTGTGGTACCTTAACTTCTCCACCAGTTTCTCTTATAGTCTACAGGCTGAGATAGCATCTGTGCCCAGTATGAAGGAGTTAAAGCCAGTCGGTAGGACACGCTCTGCCTAGAAGTGAAGGATTGAGCATGCATAGCTCTCCAGTGGAGCTGTGCCTGGAAAAAGCAAGGCCTCGAGTCCATCTCATGGAGCCCACAAAGAGCAGACAAGTCAAACACAAGCGCCTTCTTAGAATAATTCTGACACCTTTTGGTGATATGGATTGTGAAATAAGGGAGATGACCCTGAGGATATTTTGCAGGCTGCCACATTGAAGGCTGACCTCTTAGATATGCCAAGTGATAGACTCTTCTTTGGAACCCATGCCAACAGTAATCCAGACACAAGTATTGACTGTGGTCTCACATGCAGAGATCCTTCTATATTATGTAGAATGGAAATGGGTAAATTGTCGATGTCCTGTTAGAAGCATTCTGTCCAGTATTGGCTGGTAGACAAACCAAAGCCATTTTTGCATGTGCAAGTCTCCTCTGGATCCAACTTGAAAAGTCTTACTACAAAGGCAGTCAAGGGGAAGCCAGGTTCTGACAGCAACACTGTGAGCTCCTTCATCTACTACCCTGGGTAGTTTCAGTATTTATGAGTTTTATTCTTAAAATCCTTTATGAAGAAAGAGCAAAAGTTTTTTGTTGTTGTTGTTGTTTGTTTTGTTTTGTTTTGTTGGCTTTTGTTTTGTTTTTTGTTGTTGTTGTTGTTTTTTCTGACTGCTGCAGGCCCCTGCTAATTTGTCATATTGTGGTTTATGTTATGGTGGGGGAGAAGATCACATCCTTTGCTGATTTTTATGCTTATGATTTTGTAACTTCGTTTGAAGTTTTAAATAAATAACAGCTTCTTACTAGTAGTTTGAAATAAACAGTGAGTTTGTCCCTGGCCTGCCTACAGTGTTTCTTTGGTTTTGTGGTGGGTATTGGCAGGGGGACAGAGGTGAGAGTAAGATGTTCCCCTCTGCCATTTTTCTTGCTGCACACTGCCAGAAAACCTAGTTTCATATGCCTACTATCCTCAAAGTTGCAGGGACCACTCCTTCCTATTTCCTGACCATCTCAGTGGATCCAAAGCAGGTAAGACTGGGGACATCTAGAAAATAAGGCTTTAGAGATGTACCTACCTTAGTCCTGACACCTACCCAGACTCATTGCTGACAGTCTCTTTGTACTAAGGCCCTCCAAGACATCCATCCTTCCCAAAGGCCAGTACCAGCACAATGTGATTCCATACCACATTGTGTGGATTATTTGTTTCTATGATTCTATGATTATCTGTGATTCAGGCTTGCATGACAGTCTGCACTGTTCTCACAAGCAAAATACCACAAGGGAAAATCTGAATTGTTGCTGGTTTTTAATGACTATTTTTTGACAACACTAATAAAGCATTTTACAGTTTGTTGGGGTTTCTTTCCTAAGTATTTGACCCTTTACAGTTTAAAATAAATTCTAACACTTTCCACCACAGAAGGCATTCAGACTAATTCAACTGATATTCACTACATCAAAATCTGATAATCTCCTTCTGCATTGTGAGGACTGCTCATGCTTTTCTTAGCTAACTCAAGGTGGGAATCTCAGAAAAGCATTTTACAAATAATTAGTTGTTTTAAGGCTTGTTTACTTCTTAAGCACAGGAAAAAAATATTGCTGTAATAAAAACTGAGTGAAAATAAATAAAAGGAGCTTTAAATTAAAGGAGCTTAAGCTTTAGAAGTGTGTTATAAACCAGAAAAAGATGCAAAGGCCTTACGCGTCCTGAGGAAAGGGTGTCTTTCTTCTGTATTTTACAGTATTTTTAAAGTTTCTTGAACATAAGCAATCTGTTTTACTCTCTAACTTTATACTCTCTGTTCCACAATGTGCAAAAACAAATTCCCCTTTAAGCCATTGTTTTCCTGACCACAGGAAAATACAGACAGTGAGTTTAAGATTTGTGTTCCTGAAGCAGTATGTGTTATGATCTCCAGTATGGTCAAGCTCCTGCTTGATAGCTTGTCTATGCATTTTATGATTGTGTATGAAAATGT